TCTGAGAACAAAAATACTCACTTTTATAATTTAGTTAGAGTATTTTTTTTAATTAAAAAGGCCATCAAGAAATACTTGAGGCCATCATAGAACATAACTTTCACCAGTTCCATTTCAGTTTGCATACTGAGATTAAAAACTCCCTTTTTAGAGCAGCAAATGCAATTGTATAAAAACACAGATGGCCCAACTGCTTCCACAGCTGGAAAAACTCACCTTGTGACAAACTTCTGCTTTAATCTCCTTGAGAGCACGCTCAGAGAACACACAGCCACAGTTTCTCAGGAAGCAAAACCTTCCAAGAAAAGATAACACACAATAATTTTTGGAGAACTAAGAGAGATCTGTGCAGTGCTGGCAGGTCACAGCCCACCTTCTTTACAAGTTCTTGCACCTAATCAAACTATCAGCATAGTTAAATGGGCAATTAATTTATTATTAATTTGCAGAGTGTAAAAAATGAATGAAAAATATTGGCTACATTAAACCACAATAGGTATTTTGGTTTTTTATCTTGAGTATCTCCTGGCTAATCCCTCTCTGGAGGAAGAAATTCTTTGCAAACATTAAGTTGTGAACTCCTCCTCTTCTCATCCCTCAGGTGATAAAGAAGTTGCTGCTCTGCCCAAACCAGGCTGTGAGGAAATCCCCTGGCCCAGAGCAGTAAAATACAGATTTACTGCAGGGTTGGGACAGAGAATCCATCTCCAGTCTGATCCTAACACAGGGAGAGACAGAACGTGAGGAAAGGCTGGGAGAGCTGGGATTGTTCACATGGAGAAGCTTTGGGGTGAGCTCAGTGGGGCCTTGCAGGGCCTGAAAGAGCCCCAGGAAAGATGGAGAGAGAGTTTGGACAGGGGCTGGAGGGACAGGACCCAGGGAATGGCTTCAAACTGCCAGAGGGCAGGGCTGGGTGGGACACTGGGCAGGAATTTTCTTGTCCAGAGCAGCTGTGGCTGCCCCTGCATCCCTGGCAGTGCCCAAGGCCAGGCTGGACAGGGCTTGGAGCCACCTGGGCCAGTGTCAGGGGTAGCACTGGAGAGCTTTAAGGTCCATCCCAAGCCAAATCAATCCATGACTCCAACTGCTTGATGTGACTCCAAGGGAGGCCACACCCCATCTCCTGTGCTTCAGCCCCCAAATAACCTTTAGGCAATTTTTCCTTGCCAACACTGCCCCTACTCCTCCATTACACATCTTAATTTCTTCAAGAAAAGGTTAACTTTTATCTTTCCTTAAATATACCATGAAAGAACACCCAGAAGCCTCTTGAACTCTGAATGTTCAAGCTTGAAAACTGACAGCCAGACAGATATTTCCCCCCAGCCCTGAGTTAGCTCCTGATTTCCATTTCCCAGGCAGTTTCCCTGCCCTGTGTGCAGTTTGCAGAGCCCTGACCTGTGCCTGCCATTCATCTCCAGCCCCACCACGGGGCAGATGAAGCGTGCAGCCTGCAGGTCGTCGTACTTGTCCCCCTTGATGCTCTCCTTGTCCCCACACCAGGCTGGGTTATCCACCAGCTGCAGCTCTGTCACGTTCTGCAAAGGAAAAACACAAACCTGGGTCAGGAGCAGGGAGGTCACTGCTGCCCTGTGCTGGGCACTGCTGGGGGCACACCTGGAATGCTGGGCCCAGTTCTGGCTCCTCACTTTGGAAGGACATGGAGGGGCTGGAGAGGGGCTGGGAACACAAACCCTGTGAGGAACCCCTGAGGGAGCTGGGGGTGCTCAGCCTGGAGAAAAGGAGACTCAGGGGTGCCCCCATCACTCTCACAGCTCCTGAAAGGTGCCTGTGCTCAGCTGGGGCTGGGCTCTTTCTCCAGGAACTGACACAACCAGAGCACACAGCCTCGAGCTGCACCAAGGGAAATTCAGGTTGGAGATTAGGAAAAGGTTTTTTACAGCAAGGGTGATGAAGCTCTGCAATGGCTGCCCAGGGAGGTGGTGGAGTCCCCATCCCTGGGTGTGTTTAACAAAGCCTGGGTGTGGCACTGGGTGCCAGGGGCTGGCTAAGGTGCTGGGGCTGGGCTGGACTCAATGATCTGCAAAGTCTCTTCCAGCCTGGTCATTCTGTGATTTCTATGAAACTTTAAGCTTTTTTCCCCATGACTTTTGAGCCATGATAACAATCCTTAACATTTTTGCCATTGTGTTTTGTTGTTTAACACTTTAATCTATACTTACAGCATGACTCACGAATTTAACATTTTATTTCAACTTCTCACATTAAACACAAGCTGTTTACCTTAATGCTCTTGATATGGGATGCAGATTCCATGGGGGTTTTATCAGGGGATTTGTCCAACAAATATTCAATGATGGCATCTTTGTTGTACAGCCTGTAACAGAAAAATCCCAGTGGTTATATTGGGTTGCCATAATGTTTTGTATTTATAATTTTATATTTATAACGTTAATCGATTTTATATTTTTATATTTAAGTAATTTCAATATATTAATATTATGTTATAATATATAACTAATATTTAATATACTACATTAAATTTGATTTTAAAGGTTTAAATTAATTTTGTATTTAGTTTTATAAGTTTAATTGATCATTAATAAATAAATTGTTAATCAATTAAACTAAATTATATCATTGATTATATATTTCTCTATTTAATTATTTTAATATACTAATATAATGTTATAATACATTATATAATTAATATTTAATATACTACATAAAATTTGATCTTGATATATTTTAATCCTATATTATTTAGTTTTGTATCTACAATTTTATACTTATAATTTGAATTTATTTAATATTTTTATATTGAATTACTTTAATATATTTAAATTAATTATATATTATTTAATTCTGCATTTAGAATTTATATTTAAATTTTTAATAGATTTTATATTTTCATATAAAATTAATATATTTTAATTAATTTTTACAACATTATTTAATGGTGTATTTAGAATTTATAATTTTTTTTATAACTCCTGAGGAGTCCATGGCAGCATTCCCACCTGCCCAGCTCACAGGCCACGATGGGCCGACGCAGCTTCTCCTGGCTCAGGGCACAGTAGAACCACCTGGCCACCAACTCAGCAACTTTGTCGACCTGGAGAGAGAAAAACACTCATTAATTAAAAAATCTGTGAATTATTTAAGCATAAAATCAGCTCATACTTGAAGCATTCCTCAAACCCCCAGCTTTCTTACCAAACCTGCTTTGTGCATTCCGAGTTAATTCATAAAATAACTTCAGCCAAAGATTTTGGTGAAATTTCTCATCAGTTCTCCAGCACCTCCCTGGGCAGTTCCAATCCCTGACCCCCTTTCCATGGGGAAATTCCTGCTGTGCCCACCCTGAGCTGCCCTGGCCCAGCCTGAGGCTGTTCCCTCTGCTCCGGTCCCTGTTCCCTGGGAGCAGAGCTCTCCTGGCAGGGAATTCCAGAGAGGGAAAAGATCCCTGGGGATCCTCCTTTGCTCCAGGCTCAGCCCCTTCCCAGCTCCTCAGAAATTCTCCATCCCTTCCCAGCTTCCTCAGGAATTCTCCATTCCCTTCCCAGCTCCCTCAGGAATTCTCCATTCCCTTCCCAGCCCCCTCAGGAATTCTCCATTCCCTCCCCACCCCGCAGCGCTCCCGGGGCTGGTGTCACCTCAGTGCAGCTCCCGGCCCTTGGCCTTGTTGAATAATTCACGTCCAACCCCCTCCACAGCACACAGGGCCCCCCCGCCCTGAGCCGCCACCAGCACCACGCTAATACAGGGGCCCCGGGCCGGACTTTCACCTCCCCGCATCCCTCCAGCCCTCACGGATATCCCTCCCGGACCTTCTCGACTTTGCGGGGCCCCTTGACCAGCTCGTGCCGCTTGGGGATGGTGCCGCCATCGCATCCCATGGCGCTTCCGGGTTCTCCTTCCTCGCGCACTTCCGGATACGCTAAACCATTTCCGGCGCACTCCGATGACGCATTGCCTAGCAACAATCACTTAGCAGCGGTCACTGTTGCTTAGCAACGGGTGGCTGGGGGCGTGGCCTTGGCGCCTGGGCGGGGCGGGGCGGGCGAGCCCATCGCGCCAGAACCGGGGGCGCGCGGAACGTACCAACTCAGTGCGGGGGGGGAGGGGATGTTCCCAGCGCTAGTCCCGCCCCTTTCCCTTAGGTTTATCCTTTATTTTTATGAGGAAATCCCCCGGGACACCCATTTTGGGAGGATTTCCGGCCAAACCAGGCGCTCCCGGGGCGGTGCGGGCTGGCGGGGGCGCTGACGAGGCGCGTCCCGCCCTCAGCGCTGTCATTGTGGTACAGGAGCGAGTTTAATCCACAGGGATTCCCTGTGGGATGCGAGCGCTGCTCCGAGTGGGATGTCGCGATGATAGTGACCCATGTCGGCGATAAATCACCCCGAAAACACGGGAGTGACAAGGAGAACGATGCTGAGGGGGCAGCGGGTCCCCGGGGCTGTTCACACCGTGATTGTCCCTTGTGAGGGTGGACACCCAGCAAAGGCCAGGCCTTGCAGCCATAAAATAAATTAATTAGCACTACAATTAGCGCGGGTGTAGCCGTGAGAGGCCGCAGTGTCTCTGTCACACCCAGAAATGTTCCTGTCCAGAAAATTGGGGGATAAAGTAAAAAAGCTGTGCAGGCCGAGGCTCTGAGGGCTGGGCTGGAGCGCTGAGAGCTTCCCCAGCAGGGAACGACATCTCCTGTCCAGCTGCCCAAAGCCTCTGCACCTTCAGTGACTATTTATTTAGAAATAAATGGGTTTTTCTCAGCTTGATAAGTGCTCTGAGAGCTCCGGGCTGTGACAGAGGGTGGTGTGCTCCCTGTGGATTTATCAGAGTCAGGACTTCTCCCAAAGTTTCCCTCTGTGCTCAGGTACCAGCCTGGTGCATTTCCTATTCACCAGATTTTGTACCGTGTTGCATTTGTTATAACCAAAAAGTAGCTTTGCAGCTGTTTAAAAAAAAAACCCAAAACAACCCTGTAATTAAAACCTTTGAGTAAAGTCCTCAGGAAACAATCGATATTGGGATAAGTTACAGAACATTGTGCAGCTACATTTAAAGACAGACTTTACAGGAGTAGAAAAAACAATTAAAAAGGAAAATACATTTATCAGACATACATAGAGAACAAAAAAAATAAGAAATCAGTCCAATAATCAACAACTTTTGCTCCAATACACAGCAAACATTCCCACCTAGCCACTGTGACAATGACATTTCCAGGCAGGATGTGAAGAGTGGAGAAGAAAGTGCAGATTTATTTCTGCATCAGCTGCTGTGGGGATCTTCAACTGCACTGGCACCCAGGGAATTCCTGGTGGGAATTCTGAGTGTGGGGATCTTCACCTGAACCAGCACCCAGGGAATTCCGAGTGGGAGTTCTGAATGGGGAGATCTTCACCTGCCTTGGCAACCCAGGGAGCTCCTGGTGGGAATCCTGAGTGTGGGGATCTTCAACTGCTACCAGGCAATTCCTGGTGGGAATTCTGCATGAGGGGATCTTCACCTGCTACCCAGTGCACCCAAGGAGTTTCTGGTGGAAGTTCTGAGTGAGGGGATCTGCACCTGAACCAGGGTATTCCTGGTGGGAATTCTTAGTGGGGACCTTCACCTGCTACCAGGGACTTCCTGGTGGGAATTCTGAGTGGGGATATTCACCTGCACTGGCACACAGTGAATTCTTGGTGGGAATTCCAACTGGGGGGATCTTCAACTGCTAGCAGGCAATTCCTTGTGGGAATTCTGCATGAGGGGATCTTCACCTGCTACCAGGGAATTGCTGGTGGGAGTTCAGAGTGGGGATCTGCACCAGAACCAGCACGCAGGGAGTTGCTGGTAGGAGTTCTGAGTGAGGGGATCCTCTCCAGAAGCAGCACCCCGGGAGTCCCTGAAGGGTGGAAGCTCAGGGTGTGAGCCGTGCCCAGGAGCAGCCCTGGCCCCTCAGTCCATCATGGCCCGGAACTGCTGGGTGTACTGGGCCAGCTGCTCCGCCTGCTCCCGCAGCTCCCTGCTGGCCTCGGCGTTGGGGAATTTGAGGGCAGCGCTTTTGGTGGCCAGGGCCAGGTTCTTGAGCAGGCTGCAGAAGCGGCTGCTGCTGTGCAGGATGTCGCTCCGGGCCTCCCTCTCCTGGCTCTCCTGGCACAGGGAATCCACCAGCCTCTGGCCCACCATGATGATGAGTTTGCTGTGGGAGATGAAGATTTCGGGGGGCTGCTGGCTGCTGAGGCTGGCGCTGAACACGCCCAGGGCCTTGTGCAGGGCGGCGAAGCACAGCCTGCAGTGCTCAGGGAGGGGGATTTTCCTGGCAGGCTCCTGCCTGCTGGCATTTTCAGTCTTTTTTGCACATGGCAAGACCTGGAGGAAAGGTTAAAACAGAAATAGATTCAGCCTGGTGTCACACGCTGGTTGTTTCTTTGGTTGCTCTACCCTGAATTTTTGTGGTCTCCAAATCGCCACACCCTGGAGCCTTTACAGTAATTTCTCTTTCCATAAAGTGTTGGAAATTCTCCTGATTGCTTTTTAAATGCAGTTTTAATATTGGATAGCACACAAAGTGCTGCAGCTGAATATCAATCCTTTACACACTCTGTCCTTGAAGCTTTCAAATAATACAAAACATTGATCTTTAATGGACTTAATCGGGGTTATGAATGATTAAAATGCACAAAACAAGAGTCAGTTTTGTGCCAGTGCATGATAAGATACTTTGAAATACTGATTCTCACAGCCTTTTCTCAAATGATGCTGAAAGGCAATAAAATAAACTGTATGACTCTAAACTGGAGTTGTTTGATTGAGGAAAATAAGTGTTCTTCACAGGTTTTCAGCAGTAATTCTGGGAAAATGATCTCTGAGAAGCAAATAGGTCTCTATGTATAGAGATGTGTGTCTGAATGCAAATTACTCTGAGTTTTATCAAGCACAGAAATTAGGGACTAAAAGCCCTTATAAATAATATTTTCAAAGCTAGAAATACCTTTGGGTTTGACTCTGTACTCTTCTTTGCTACTTCTTTACCTGAAATGACTTTCTGTGCCTGTTACAAATTAAAATGAAAGCAAAGTTGAAACAACTACATAAAGTATTTAAATATAAATGTGGTTTTCTCTGATTTCATGGGGAAACAACTACTTGTTCTGCAGCCTTCATGTTGCAAATAGAAATGGGGGATTTATTAGAAGGAGCTGTAGGTTTTCTCCTCCTAAAAATGATCCTGCAAGATCTGAGACTGAAACCAACATCAACAAAACATTTCAATGTAACATTCCCTAAATTTTAAGTACAATCAGCATTTCTTTGGGAAACTAAGGGAGATATTCTTAGTAGATACTTTAGTGATTCTAAGGAGATTCTTACAATCATCCAGAATTATTCCAACAAATAAATGTGATAATTCACAGAGTTTCATTTCTATGCAAATTGGATTTCTATCCAAGTTAGGAAGGAACATCTCTTGTCGTGCCAAACACAATGTAGTGGCAGGAAGAGAAAAAAGAGAAGTAAGGTTTTGCTAACTTCCAATGAAACCTACTTCCCAAATGAATTCAAGCTGGCAAGAATGATAAAAATGTTTGATTTTCTCTGTTGATTAAAATTACTGCTCATTGTACACGTGCCATCCAGCACTGCACAAAATCCTGGATCTATGTGAAGTCTGGGAAGTGGGATGTAGTGCAAACTGAGTGTGGCAGTGCAAAGTAAAATACTGCTGATAGTTAACAGCCTAACACCTGCAAAGGGTGAGGAGTTCAGAGAGGAACCCTCAGTGTCACTGACCTGCAACTGGACATAATCACAATCCTCGCTGCAGTTTTCTTCTGGTTTCTGCACAGGGACCTGGCTTTGGCTGGGTTTCTCAGGAGCATTTCTCTGGAGTGACTCGATTTCTACTCTTCTTGGCACTGGGATTTGTTTTGCCATTTTGCATTCTGGGTTCACTTTTGGTGGCTTCTTTTCTTGCTCCTTCTCGCTCTTCCTGAAGAGCAGTTTCCCGTTGGCGATGATGATGGACACAAACCTCTTGATATCGTCTGGAATTGTCCTGGCCACCATAACGAAGCGATCCAGGTCGTCAGGGTTGTTCTGGGGCTTCCTGAGCACCAAAGCCTCCAGGGACCAGCTGCAGCTGTTGAGAGCTTCCCTTGTTTCTGTCAATATTTTGTAGGAGTTCATGAGGATTTCCAGCTGTTTTTTAATTCTGGCCTGCAGGTTGTTATCCGTGAGGTTGGAGGCGTTTCCCTTCAGGGCTTGAGCAAAGGCCAGGAACTCTCCCAGTGACACCTTTATGTGGTCCACTGCTCTGTGGATGTCCTCCAGGCTTTTCTCCAGGTGCTCCTGCAATCTCCACTTGCTGCTCACAAAGATCATTAAACTGGCGATGGAGCTGGACACGCCGTGCTGCAGCCGGGTCAGGGTCTCGATGGCTGCTTCCAGCTCCAGTTTGATTTCTTGGACAGGCTCTGGTGATGGTGACAGCCTAGAAGATGACTCAGCAGAGGAGCTGGAGGATGAGGACAGAGTGCTGCTTCTGCTGTCCACACTAGAGACACACAAACTGTCATTCTCTGACTTGGCATCCACGGAGAGCTGTGGAGAAGCACCGTGTGCTTGGTCACTGTTGTTTTCCTTCTCTCTCTTGGAGTGCCCAGCACTGGGCAGACCTTTGGGAATATCATAAACATTCTCCTCAGAGATCTGACTCTCAGCCTTGGCAGCCAGGAGCCTCGGGGGCAGCCCAGAGCTGCCGTTGTGTGGCAGGAGGAGCAGGTCCCGCGAGGGCGGAACGTCGTACAGGGGGATTTCTGGAAGCGTTAGTTTCCGTGCCGGTGGGATGTCGTACAGCTGGGGATTCCCAGCCTTGGCTTCAGCTGGAGCCTTGTACCTGGCTGGGGGAATGTCATACAGCACCTGCTTCTCCACAGGCTGCCCAGGAGGGGCGGGTTTGAAGCCGGAGTTTTCAGGCGATACTGGAATGTCGTAAATCCATTCGGACTTCCGAGGGTTTGGCAAGGTGTTGTAATGGCCCCAGCACTTCTTCTGAGATTTCGTTTCTGAGTCATCGAGCTCTCTTTTGGGAGGGACATCATATAACTGCAACAGAGCACAGAGGGTTCATAAACCATCTTTTTAAACAAGAATGAGAAGCAGAACTGAATTCTCAGAGCACACAAATGTGTGCAGCTCCACTGATGTCGATGCAATGGCACCACACAAAGGCTGCCTGTATCTTTTGTTTTCTAACATGCACAAGCTGCATGTATAAAAGGTAAAATATTTGGAGCACAGGTGATTAGATCCCACAGCACAGTCCCCAGCCAGTGAAATCTGTCGACACTTGATTTTTCCCCACTCACATGCACACCCTTTCAAACAATAAATCACCAACAGACACCAGTGACTCTACTCAAACACCTTCAATAAATTTAATTTTTGCTTGATACAGATATATGTGTGTACAGCTGGAGTCTAAGCTGGGAAAGGGGCGTTCAGGACCATTTGTTGTGTAAGAAACAGTGGGGAAGAGATGGGAGACCTGTCCCTGCTCCAAGCCAGGAGTGACAGATTATTGTGTGCCCACCAAGCCTTACTTACATTGCCTGCTGGTGAGCCCTGGCTGCCAGCTCCTCCTTTTTCTGCCTTGGATGGGGTGTTGTAAAGCTGCTTCTGCTCTGCCTGGAAGCTCTCAGTGGATCTGCCCAGCATGGAGACCTTCCTTGTGCTGGGGGGAGTGGCACCACTCTGCTCAAAAGGAAAAAGAAAGGTTTATTTTGATCCTTTCTAGAGCCCACTGGGGCCTTGAGTGGGACCAAAGGCTTTGGGCCATACATGAGTAGGTTGGGTCTGAGCAGGGATCACCCAGGAAATCTGTGGATATTGATGGACTGGGCTCAGGCCTGCCCTGCCAGGGAGCAGCAGGGAGTGAGGAGGCCCCTGAAGTGCTCCAGTGCCACTCACCCCTCGGTGTGGGAGGTGACAGGACAGGCTGGGGGCTGGCACCTGTCCCACCCTCAGAGGTGCAGGAAATGTGACTGCCACTGTAGGACACAAAACAACACAACCCAGACTTGCTGCCCTTTCCAAGGTAAAAAAGGGGCTTTTTATTTTCTGACTCTAACATTTACAGATCTCCAAAAGTGACAGTGGATTGGAGGGTGACAGTGCCACCTCTCCAATGACACTGGACAAACCAACAGTCTATCAGATTTCTCCTCCTCCATAAAAGAATGCAAAACAATGAGTTATTTACATAAAGTGTGTGAGGAAGTTTGTTACAAGAATGTAACCATCAGAAGGCTTAGAAAAATCTTAAAAAATCAGGGGACATTCACTGAGCCCAGGGGAGTGGGACAGCACCAGGGACAGGATTGTGTAACAGGACACGTCACAGGGATGTGACCAAATCCAGGGTGTGTTTTTCCCAGGAGGAGGGTGGTGGGGTGACATTTCATTTCTTGTGGACGTGGGCTTGTGACTCTTCTCTAAATACCCCGAAATCACCCCCACCAAATGACACCACCACATTTCCTCATGGATTCCGCAGCAGAGTGGGTGACAGGTCAATTCTACTGTCACCCTATTTGCTTTCTGTAAAGTTGGGAAGGAAATCATCTGTTTTTAGCTCTAAACCTCAGTTCTCCTGAGTTTCTTAGAAATTTAGAGCAACGTGTCTTAAATCTGGTGCATTTCTAGTACACTTCCATTTTTTCTATTTCTTTTTCTATTATAATTCCAAGGCAGAGAGGGTGACACTACTGATGTCTTACTGAATTTTCTGTATCAGTGTCAACCTCTCTGCCCCAGAATCCATGGAGAAATACCTTACTGACAGAAAAAATTGAAGTGTTTATTAGAAACGCACCAGATTTGGGACACATTGCCCTAAATGTCTAAGAAACTCAGGAGAACTGAGGTTTTGAGCTAAAAATAGATGATTTTCTACCCAATTAGACAAAAAGCAAACAGGGTGACAGTAGAAGTGACCTGCAGATGTGCTCTGAGGTGCTGCAGGGTGGCAGCTGCAGGGAGGGAGGGACAGGACTCACCTGTGGCAGCGGGGACCCGCGGTGCTGCAAGGAGGGGACATCGTACACCTCAGCCCTGATGTTGGGGGCTGAAGCCCTGCAGGCTCTGGGCAGGGTAAACAGGTGCTTGGAGGGGAGAAAAAAATAGTAATAGTAATAGTAATAATAATAATAATAATAATAATAATAATAATAATAATAATAATAATAATAATAACAAAACTGCATCAGCAGGAAGCTTTGAAAAGTCATTCGGCTGGAAAATCCACTGTTGGAGTAATCATTCTTAAGTGATAAAAACCTTCAGCTCTTCACTGAAAGTGAGAGACAGGAACTGACCTCACAGGCAACAGCATGTTTATTCTCAAATAATTCTCCTTTACCAGCAGTTCTGGTACATTTTAGATAAGATCTGACCTGGCACAAAGACAATCTGCCTTACTAACCACAGGGCAGAAAAGATTTGGAGAAAATCCAGCTGCAGTTATCACTTAAACCTTTAAACTGCCCAAAAGCAGAACCACTTAAAAAAGGAAGTGGGGAAATTTCGACTTCTCCAAGCCCACAGTCATTGGGTCAAGCCAATTTAATGTCAGAGCAGCAGCAAAGTGCAGGCTGAGCATTATTCTGTAGTTATGAACAAATGACTCATTTGAAAGGATTAAACCTTGATGTCCTGTCCAGCTTCATAAACAGGGAATTGCATCTTTGCAGTCAGATTCTTCTGTTTGATTAAAACATAATTTGAACAGCCATGACCAGATCTGTGGGACAATTAATGTCACAAAATATGAATGCTGGGTTAGGACTTTTCTTTTTTACAATCAACCACCAAAAGATGGAATTTTGTTCATCCAGCCTGCCTTCAGCCTGGCTGCCCTCAGCTAATTTATAAATGGGCCCTTGCAAAGCACTGACCTCCAGAAACACTGCCGGGGTGAGATATTACAGGAAATTTTAAATTTTAAACTGGTTTTAAACTGGAGGGAGTGATTCCCATCGTGCAAATCCTGCAGCAGCTAAATGTAGGGGAAATATGGTAGAGGAAGAAGAAGAGTGCAGCTTCACTGTGCCTGGTTCAGCTCTCATGTGGGAGCGGGGAATGAGGAGTGAAGACAAATCCCCTGAGTGCTGTGACAGAGAATCACAGAGCCACAAAATGGTTTGGGTTGGGAGGGATCTAAAGGACCATCTCTGCCACCCTCTGCAGAGGGCAGGAGCATCTTCCACTGTGCCAGGCTGCTCCAAACCCCCTCCAATGTGGCCTGGGACTCCTCCAGGGATGGGGAATCCTGGGCAACCTGTGCCTGAAGGAAGGCACAGATAGGAGCATCTTCCTTGCAAACACGGGCACAGCTTCCCTGAGTGAAAGGGCAAAAGGTAAAAGCCATCCTTAGGCCAGGTCTGCTTCCAGATGGACAAATCTGAGAATCCAGCAGAAAGGAAACTCACTGGGTATCACATGTTGGCACTTTTGGAAGTGGCAGTAGAACCAGAAGGAAGGAGGTTTCTCTGTGGGGTGAAAACACCCCAGCTCTGAGGGATTTATTCTCGTTTCACTGCTTCAATCAGCTCCCTCAGAGACTCACAGTGGCTTTTCCCAGCTGCTCAGAGGACAGCTGAGTATGGCAGGAGCTTTGCCAGCTGTGCCACAGGATCTCTGTGGGATGGTCTGGATTGTTCTGTGCTCCCTGAGCTCCCCTGCCTTGGGGACAGCTTGTGACCACCAGGGTGCAGCTGGTGTGGGGACAGCTGGGACACTGTGCCACAGGCAGCCCCACTCTCAGCTTCTGGATAACCATCAGAGGCTGGGACAGTCCTTTTTCATTCTTCATTCTTTTTCATTCTCAGACTAGGTGGATAAATTCATGAAATGAGGCAGGGAGAGCCAAGGAGCTGCTCTGCCAGACCATTCATCCACATAATGAATAGATGACACTTTCCACCTGATTTGCTGGCACAACATGGAAAATGGATGCCAGTTTCTGATACAGTTTGCCAATGTCTCCTTTAGGGTCAGGAATGTGGGGAAATCAATGACAGCAAGTGCAGAAGAGTCTCTTGTAGCTGCACTCAGTTTGAGTTTGAGTTATGGTTGTGCACTGCAGCTGCAGAGCTGAAAAGGAGGTTCTGGTCCCCAGGGATGCCCTGAGTTTGTTGTTTTCTGGCACCCAGCAGGAAGCAGCAAGGAGGTTTCCATGACTGGCCTTCCACACAGCAGGAGGCGAGGTGGCTGAATGAGCCCCATAAATCAAACCAACATTAAATCAGCCTAAATCACTATAGAGCTGAATTTTCTTCCTTTTCCTTGCTCAATTAGAATTTCTAATGTGATTTCCATACACAGAATAAAGAGCCACCCAATGCTGGAGAGCTCACAGAACTGAACAAAACCTCACACTTGAACTCTGTCCCCAGCTGCTCTATTTCCCTTTCATTATGAAACATTCCCCACTCATTTTTTTCCTGAAGAAAGCACAAGGTCTTGATGTTAAAAACCAGTGAGATGTAATCAAATTGCATGTTCCACGTATGTTTGAAAGTCAGACTGGGAGAAAGAAGAGCCAGGCCAGGGAGCTGTAATGAAACCCTGGAAAACCAGTTTGTTCTCCTCTCTAACTGGGGGAACTGGTGGCAACTCTCCTCCTGTACACCTTGGCCAATATCTCAGCAGCAGCAAAAACGGGTTGGGAGAGAAATTGGTTGAGGGCACAAAACTTTGTGTCCTTCTGTGTGTCTGGCAGGGGCTGCTGCTTGGTGCAAGCCTAGGGACAGCCCAAGGGACAGGCAGCAGCATTCTGAGCTTGCTGAGCTGCTGGAGACACTAAAACCCAGACCAAACCCAGCAATCACACACCAAAGGGTGATCTTTTAAAAATTATGAGTCATGTTCCTGTGCAGATGGATGCAGACTCCACATGTGCCCAGAGGGCTCTGGATGGCTGCTGGAGAAAGTTCTGTGTCTTGTTATTTTAACTTTGTAAATAATTTATAGATTCTCCCAAACAAATGGTATATTCTTTACTTCCTGCCCTGTTTCACAGCTGTTTTAGACTGCCAGAAAGGTGAGGGAGCACAGAATGTGGAGACTCCCATCTGTCACCCAGAGCAGCAATTCTCACCCCATGCTATAAACTGATGGGAATTTCCTAAACACCATCATTCCTCTGCTGCAAACTCCACTGAAAATCCCAGCTTCCTTATTTCCCTGCTCCCAGCCACTGTTTTAACACCAACATCTGGGTTTTGGGAGCTCACCTGGTGCGTGGGGCGCTTGTTCCTCTCGCTGAACAGCGTTTCTTAACCCATGCTATAAATTGATGGGAATTTCCTAAACACCATCATTCCTCTGCTGCAAACTCCACTGAAAATCCCAGCTGCCTTATTTCCCCGCTCCCAGCCTCTGTTTTAACACCAACATCTGGGTTTTGGGAGCTCACCTGGTGCGTGAAGCGCTTGTTCCTCTCTCTGAGCAGCTGTGCCGCCAGGGCTGGCACCTGGTACACGAGCTGGGGCTGAACCCAGCCCTCCATCTTCTCGTAGGTGGCCGAGGGCGCCGTGGCCGTGGAGGGCACGGGGGGCACGGAGGGCACGGGGGGCACGGAGGGCACCTGGTAGATGCCGTGTGCGGCCGGCAGCTCCGTGGAGGGCGGCAGGAGCTGCAGGCGGTTGGCGGGGGCCAGGCCATGGTGGCCGTGCAGGGAGCAGTGCCACCAGCCCTGGCTGCCTGCCACGTGCTGCTCCAGCACCGTCACGATGTCCCCTCTGCGGAACGCCAGCTCGTCCGAGCACTCCGCCTTGTTGTCGTAGAGAGCCTTGGCCAGGCTGTGCTGGGGACACAAGCACACCCACGGTGTCACTTTGTCACTTTTGGTCACATTGTCACAGCCATTCCAGGCTCCTCACTTCCAGCCTGGTGTTCCCACCCTGCTGGGATCCTTTCCCCTCCTCGATCTCCGTTTGATTCACCCACCCCTTTTCTCATTGAACAGCCTCTCTCCAGCACTGAACTGGAAAATCATCAGGCAGGGTCAATGGAGCTCTTAGAAAGAAGAGATTAGAAAGGAAATAAAACCCAAAACACAAACCCTAAAGGTTTTCCAGCTAAGGCAGGGCTTAATTAAATTCCAACTTCAGGACAACCCTCAATACTGTGGAGCTGGAGAGCACATCTTTGCCATCACAGTTAAATGTGGCACTTTGTTGTTGCAGTAAGGCAGGAAAATGGGATCTATTCTGTGATCCCTATATAAAAAACAGGGATCTATTCTGTGATCTCTATATAAAAAATAGCTGGCTTTCCCATTGTCATTCTGTGAATTCTTCATCTCATAATTACTCATTACAAGATCACAGAGTCATGGCATGCTTGGGGTGGGAGGGGACCTTAAATATCATCTCATCCCACCCCTGCCATGGGCAGGGACACCTTCCTCTGTCCCAGGTTGCTCCAAGCCCTGTCCAGCCTTCCAGGGATGGGGCAGCCAGAGCCAGCAGGTAGCTTTAGTCACCCGAGGCATTTTTGCAAAGGGTAGAGAAAGCTGTGGATGCCATTTTTAGGTTTTTTTCAGTACAAGATAGATTTTGCTTTTAGCTTTAAAATGCACTGTCTGCTCCCCTGTCAGTGGGAACACTGGCTGTGCCTCAGCATGAATTTCTTATCAGAAAGTGCAAGTAATGTCCAGGGAGATAGCACCCAAATAGGAAACGTGATGCCTTGTATTTTTGTGCAGAGCATTTGCTGTGGGGCAGCAGCTGGCCTGAAGCTGCAGCTCAAGAACTCAAATTTGTCAGCTCAGCTGGCGACAAGGGCCCGCTGTTGGCTGCAGGCATTTCATGAACAATGGCTTTTTGTGGGGCAGGGGCAGCTGCCAGGGGGGACAGCAGCCCCCTTGGCCTCCTGGTCCAGCCTGGCTTTTGCCTGGAACATGGGAGCCCACTTTGGACTGGGACAATGCCAAAGGTTGGAGTCAGGAATCCCCCCTGGGCCAGGCCTGGGCTCCACACGGGCAGAAAAAGGAGAACAGCCAACTTTCCTGGTGATCCATCAACACTGCTGGCTCCTTGGGCTGGGTGCTGCACAGACACACTTCTGAGCGACAGAGACCCTCTTCTTCTGCCCCAGGAGGAAAACTCTGCCCCTTTTCCACATGAAGAGCCTTCTCCAGGCACTCACAGGAGATGGGAGAAGGGATCTGAGCCTGGCTGGGCACACACAGCACGGCTGCCCTTCCTTTGTGCACCCACACAGCTGAGAGGAAGCTTTGGTTCACACTGTGGTTTTAAAAGGCATCTAAATATTGACATTTCCCTTTTCCTGTGGAAACAGCACCTTCAAGGTGCTGCTGAGCCTAATTTTATACCCAGAGACCCAAACCTTTCCATCAGAGGGGTCCCTGCTCGAGGCACAGCACACGTTCCTTCAGTTTGACCAATAAAAATGTGCAAATATCCCAGGGCCAGCAGCCCCAGCCCGAGGCCAGGCTGAGGCAGAACACTGTGGCTCAGATTTTGCATTTCTGGAGCTCACATCTGTGATCAACACAAAGCCAGGAACCTCTAGAATCATCCCAAATCAAGCCAAGCAGGAATTAATTCATGAATCAATTAAATCATAGGGCACTCTGGGGGAGCTGACCTAGCTAGAAAAACAGATCTGTTCATGGATCATCTCATATCCCATCCAGAGAGATGGGAGGGAAAAATGAAGACTTTGACTTGAGAGGTGATGGAGACAAGCCCAAACCCCAGTCTGTAGAACATGACTGAACTGAGGGATTGTCAAACCTCACACAAGCAGGGTCAGTGGAGCTCTTAAAAAAACATATTAAAAAAAAGAAAAAAAGAAAAAACCACAAAAAACAAACCCCAAAGGTTTTCCAGCTAAGGCAGGGCTTAATTAAATTCCAAGTTTCAGGAGAAACCCTCAATACTGTGGAGCAGTACATCTTTGCCATCCCCTGTCATATTTCAGTATTTCAGAAAGGTGCAGGGCATTTCAGAAAGGGGCAGAGTATGTCAGGGAGGTACAGAGTATGTCAGGGAGGTACAGAGCATCTCAGGAAGGTGCAGAGTATGTCAGCAAAATGCAGAGTATTTCAGCAAAACGTAGACTATTTCAGGAAGGTGCAGAGTATGTCAGGAAGGTGCAGGGCATGTGAAGGTGCAGGACATGTCAGCAAGGTGCAGGGCATTTCAGCAAAATGCAGACTATTTCAGGAAGGTGCAGAGCATGTCAGGAAGGTGCAGACTATTTCAGGAAGGTGCAGAGCATTTCGGCAAGGTGCAGGGCGTGTCAGGAAGGTGCAGGGCATTTCAGCAAAATGCAGAGTATTTCAGCAAAACGCAGACTATTTCAGGAAGGTGCAGGGCATGTCAGGAAGGTGCAGGGCATGTGAAGGTACAGAGCATCTCAGGAAGGTACAGAGCATCTCAGGAAGGTACAGAGCATCTCAGGAAGGTGCAGAGCATCTCAGGAAGGTGCAGAGCATCTCAGGAAGGTGCAGGGCATGTCAGCAGCCCAGCAGGAGCCCAGGGGGTGAGTGCTCGCCCCCCCTGTGCCTGCAGGGCCATGCTCGGGGTATCTGCAGGGCTGTGAGGCAGAGCCCAGCCCTGCCTGCTCCCGCAGCTCCCGGAGGTGTGGGGGGAATCGCCCCTCCTCTCCTGTGATCCCTGCCCTGCCTCTCAACAGGGGCTGCATTCCCAGCCCCTGAGCCCCCGGGGTGCTCAGTGAGCAGGGGCTGAGCTGGGGGCACTGGGGGATGCATTTCCCTGATATCCAGCACAGCTCTGGCTGGGCAGTGTTCCCTGTGCTTTGTGTGTTGTGGCCTTAAATAAACAACGTGTAAAAAGCACTAAAGCGACACAGGTGAGGTCCAAGTGATTTTCCTTCTTTGCTTGCTGCCTCATCCCCATCAGCAGCCTTGTAAAACCTCTCCTAAGACAAAGAACATCCTAAAAGCCCCACAAAAAGCACCTTGTGAGGCAGTGCTGGGGCTCTGCTCTCCCTGAGTGGGTTTAAACAAGCTGCTGACAGAGCACAGACCTGGAAAAGACCAGAAAGTGCCCCTGCATCCCCTGCCGAGGCACTGGGACCCCCAGAGCCCACAGCCAGCCCAGGGCAGAGCAGGGGGTCCCACCCTGGAGGCACTGACAGTGCAGGGTCCCTGGAACAGCCCCACTCCACAAGTTCCCATCTTGCTGCAAGTGCATCTCCTTTATGGGAGCGTGGCTCAGGTGTGGGCAGAGTAATTCCCCTCCAAACTGCACTTGTCTCATCTTTGTTGTTTGCAGATCCTTACCCAGCCCTGCTCCCTCTACAAAGCCCTGGCAGCCCCTGGGAGTCATAGGGATGAAAGCTGCTCCCTCATGTTTATTAATGGAGAAATTGTAATTAAGGGCAGTAAAGCTGATCAGTGCCCAGCTCTATAATGTAAAATTTTATACCCTCAGAGTGACATCTGTGCTCTGTGTACACAATAGATATTTATGCTAAGGATGAAACATCCCACTGTTACTAAAATCTCCTGATGCCTCTCCTATCCCAAGCCTGATCTTCATGCAACAGAAAAAAAACATCATTATTAAATATATACAAACATTGCTAGAAAAATCCAAGTGGATACAGTGATGTACAGCACGTGATAATTTCAGCATCTTGCCCACAAGCCTCACAAAATAATTTCTCTATGCCCCCATCCCACTCAGATTGTGTTTGGAAATCTCAATTTGCTGCCCTGCATTATTTCATGCGAATGAGTACTGCACTATTTCACAGCATTTCAGATAAAAAAGATAATTTTTCATTTATTATCTTCAATTTGCTTCCTAAAAACCCCTACTGAGACCATGTAAATAAAGATACAGTTTAATCCTAGGAGGTTTTGTGGACTGAGAGAAATTTTTCTCATGTTGCACATCAATATATGAGTGAGCTCTTTTACTGCAGGAAAGGGGGACTTAAAATATTTGAGGAGGAAGAGATAGAGGGTTGTGTTTGCTAAACAGTTCTGCTCATACATCAGAGACACCTCTGACATGTTTACAGAGCAGCTTCCAGTTAATCTCTTCAGCTCCCAGCAAAGCTGCAGAAATAAACATTCTCCATCATCCCTTAGCTGGGAACAGCCCTCCCTGAGAGTTCCCTGTTCAGCCCCAGACCACTCTGAGCCACTTAAACTTTGCTCAGGTAATTGTAGAGATTCCACATCAACATCCACAGAAAAAGAGGAAAATTTACCTTAAAAGCTCAGATCATTCTCCACCTGCATGTGCAGCATTTCCTGTGACCTGCAGAAGGTCCTTCTGCATTTCTTTGTTTTCTTTGTGCATTTTGGAAAATAATTGTTCAGCTCATACAGAAGTGTTGCGTGAGCTTCAAGGAGGAATGAACATCAGGACTTGCTTTTATTGCTTTAATTGATTTTGTGGGGGTGGAAGCAGGTGCTGATCACAGGTTTTGAATTCTAAATTTGATCAAATACAGAAGCACCACGTAAAAAAAAAAACCCCAAGCTTACGAATCCTGCAGCTTCACACAGGGCACTGCTGCAGAGGTGGGAATTACAAACTGGAGTTCTGTTAATTTCCCCCAAACTCTCTTTTCTCCACAAATGAAGTCAATCAAATCCTTTGTGTGTTAAAATCCCCACCAGGGGAAAATGCAGCCAGGGTTTCACCCCACTCAGAGCATTTGTACAGGAGTGCTCTCATGCCCAGGCTCAAGGGAAAATAAACTGTTCCTCCCTGTGGGAGCATTCCTGGGCTGTGGGTCCTCAAACCTGTCTTTTTCCCATATGCACCCAGTCACTTTAGGGTTTTTTTTGATTTT